AAAGAAAACAAGAAAAAAAAGAAAGAAAGAAAAAGGGGGGGAAGTTGAATGGTATTCGTTGAGAAGACAGTGTAGAGTTAGGGTTACAACGTAGATCCTTGCACAATCAGTTACTACGATTGCTGCTGCTGAATACTGAATACTAAAAATCGACTACTACTGCCCACTACCTACCACCACTGTTATGGCCCTACCTGATAGGGTATCACGCCTTGACAGCAGACTTGTACTCAGCCCAGAGACGGTAGTTAACACTACGATTATCAATGTACTCTGTACCTACCTGTTTCCACCACCTGGTTGCTTTTGGTGTTTTTGCATTGCGTCGTCACAACTACTGCTACTACTACTACCACCACTACGACTACCACCGCTGCCTACCACCACAGCTATCGCTACTGCAGCTGCAACGGCAGCTGCCACTTAGAGACCACCAATCCGCTGCTCAAGCTGCGCTCTACTTTGGTGCCAGTTTACTACCCAACAGCTGTTTATATGGATCTTGCAGGTAGTGCTGATTGTTCAGTGAGGCCTGGATGCCTTGTTGCATGTAAATTGCGTTCTGTATGCCGTGGTAGTTGGAATTGTTCAGATCCTGGTTCATGCTGTTGCTGTTAGGCCTGCCAGTTGGGGCCGGAATATATCAGTGACGGTGAAAATTCTGGCCGCAACATATTGGTAACTACTGTGGCTAGAATATGTTAGTGACTATCGTGGCTAGAAGACACTGGTGACTTCTGCGGCCCGAAGACATTGGCAACTGTCGTGACCAGATGATACGATTTTATCCTTTTACGCGAATCAAACCTAGGTATCACTTCTAGAAATAAATATATTAGTAAAGTTAGACAGGCTCCTACAGCCCACTAGGTTTACAAATAGAAGGAACAGATAAAGTACGCAATTTATTGCTAAGCTTTTAGCGACCGGAGCCTTGGTACGCCCGAACGCCAAAACGGGAAGATAATTGTGACTGTTGGGACTAGAACGAATCAGTTCCTGCTGGTTGGAACAAGAAGACACTGGTGACTCTTGTAGCTAGAAAATATCAGTGACTATTGTTGCTAGAACATATCTAGTAGACTATAGTTGTAGTATAGCCTATAAGTCTCTGTCTATGTTAATAGAGAGAAGGACAAGCTACTAAGATAACTGCGGGATTATTAAACTCACCGCTAATCCGGGCTAAATCTCGGTAGGACCAGTCAAGCTAGGATCGCATAATGACCTTATTGTAAATAGAGAGAATCAAGCTTCTACTAAGTTTTTAAGTTAGCGTAGATAATATGTTTATATATATATATTACTTGTATCTCTGTCAATGCTTTAAGCTTACTACACAGCACAGTATCACACAAGAACAAATATCAAACATGAAGTCTTTTATCTTTACAGTTATACCTCTTCTTCCATTTGTACTAGCTGCTCCACAAGCTAGTGCAAACAATGTTGGTGTAAGTTATTATCTTCGCTGTGATTCTGATAGGATTAGTGATTCTAATAAGTGTAGACATGTTTCAAGGGAGGAATTGTTACTATGTGCCAGACTCTAGATAAGACTAGATTCACGTGGTGTGTAAGTAACCAGCTATCTACTAGATCGAGCTATATCTATAATTACTCAACGCTTACTATGCTTAGGCTGCAGATCGACAGTGTAATAACGATGGTAATTATTGCGCCTTGGGATATGCTTATCAGGATGGTACATCTGTTGCATATTGCACATAAGTGTTATGAATTACGCTCTCTTATGCCTAGCTTATGTAGTAGAGATAGGGTGTTACAGAGTTTAAGGAAGACACGCAGTCAGATTCAATCAACCCTTATAACACAGTTGCGATTTTGATTTTGGCTTTTTGCGCGAATTGAATTGGGGTATTACTCATTACTAAGAAGTCTACTAGTGATAGGGCTTACTATTACGAGCTATGTAGTAGTAAGGAATCCTGTAATAGGATGACAAAGCTTTGACTTCTAGCCTATCCTTCATAAGATCAATATCCCCCTATCTCTCTGTGACTACCTACAGTAATACTGCTGACTGTTAAGGAATAGGCTTTGCCTACTCCTACAGTAGTATATGCTTAGGAGAGATTTCTTTAAGTACACTAGGGGACTTTTCTCTTACACTACACTTAATTAATACAATATCTTTCAGCACCTTACAGTCTTCTGCTAGGGATTGTACTATAACATTGTTTACCCTAACTCTAACCCTTACCACAGTCCTCTTAATAATACTGAACATAGTAGTTGTAAATACACACCACTTATTTGCTTCAGAAGCAACTGTAATCTACGAATGTATTGGATTCCACAATATATATAGACTATGTAAAAGTGAATTGTGTATACACGGCTTGTGGGTGTAACGGCGCAGGTAAGGCAGGTTGGATCTGTTTAGTTGTAGGATCACTTAGAGGCATATAGGAGTGTATAGGATTATAAAGAGCATAGATTTAATACGCTACTTATAGGCCTTATATAAAAGGATATTAAAGATTTACTCAGCTATTTATAAAAACTATTATAAATTAATATAAGCTAAAGTTAAGTCTAAATTAGAATTAAGTTCTTAGAGTAAGACTATAGCGTAGATAGTAAGTATTATTATCTTATAGTAGATAGTAGTTTTAATCTAACTTTACTTTAGCTCTAGTACTTAGTAAGGCTTATAACATCATTATACTACCCTTCTTCTTAGTAAATAGCTAGTTTTCTAGCTATAAAATCTTAATATATACGTTTATAATATTATTATCATAATTTTATATATTACTAAGTTACGCATTATTATTCCACTCTTGTCTAAGTTACTTTTTACTTACTTTTACTTACTCTTCTTTTAATTACGCCTATAATTACTAGTCTTGGTAAAATATATTTATAGTTCTTAAAGTATAATAGTATAGCTTGCTCTAGAACCTACTCTTCTACTATTCTCTCTCTCTTATATATATATATAAACACGCACTAGTAGTAGCAATAATAATAATACTACTACTACTATACCTATCTACTACCTGCCTAGTGCTGTCAGATAAATGGCAGAATCCGGGTGCGGACTCGAGCACCAGGATTCTGTGATCCCAACCAGTCAGGGCTGATCGCCAAGACCTAACCCTAGGCGAGGCTGATACTTAGCGGCCTACCTAATACAAAAAGCAATAGCGATAGCTCTTATAAGGGGCGCGCCCTCGCGCCCCTACAGACGACAG